TACACATGACAAAATATGAACTCTAAAAGTACCAAATGAATGTAAATGCCAAACATGTCACATAAAAATTTAGAAGCAAAGAAGTTATTTTAGGTTGGGATTGTCAACAAAGAAGTAAGGTGCCCAAGTGTCCTGACTTTCCTAGGACTAAGGAGTTTCCTGGGGCACAGGCCTTTGAGTGCCTAAATCAGGAATATCTTAGGAAAACTGGGATGAGCTGAGTAGTCTTAAGAGGTAAAATCATACAGGGTCATGAGTAACTCAACAAAAGAAATTTGAGCTCCTTCAAGATGAAAGAACACAAAAGTCTGTTCCATGCTTGGGATATTAAGAAAAGGATGTACTTCATTGATGGCATATATAATTGTCAACAAGAAATTCCATTGTTTTAGGATCAGGAAGAATAAAACAAATGGGGAGACCCAGATTCTGTTAGGGGAAGCGGGGTTGATACACTCACATATTACCAGGCCAGATACCAGGGTTGGCTTCGATGACAAATCTTTGGTGATTGCTTTTGAGCACTGTGCACAATTAAACTCCGTGTCTTTATCATGTGTTGCAGAGAAATATTTATGTCCCTTTCATAAGTAGAGCTGACTACACTTCCAGTGGTTTTCTTCACTTAAAGAGAACTTGTGCTCACATGAAAACTACAGTTTTGGGGCTTACATACTGTGTTCTGTGTGTTGTTCTTTTCAGAGGTTCTTAAAGCAGGTTTCCTGCATTGAAAAGAAGAAATAAAGTTTAGGACATTTATTGAACTCTTGCTTTGTGCTTTACAAATACCACCACATTTAACGCTCATAGCAACCGAAAAAAGCAAATACTACTTTTATGTCCACTTGCCAAATGAAGAATTCGATTCACAGAATGGTTAAGTAATTCTTGCCTAAGATGATTTTGTTAGAAAGGGGTAAAGGCAAGATTTGAACCCAGGTATTCTGACTGTAGGGCCCATGCATTTAGATACCACACAATATCGAGTACTTGAAAAGAAAATGAAATAATTTAATACTTTACATCATAAAGAACTCATAAGAGATAAGATGCCCAAGATTCTTACTTCTGAGGATGAATGTGAATCTGTGTGTTGAAACCTTGAAGTTATTTCTTTGAGAGTTAAGAACTCAGCGTTCATTCTATGACATGATTTTCCTGGTTCGGTCCTGTTCCCTACACAGTGGGAGTCGGCTTTTCCAATACAGTTGGGAGAATAGACAGTCCAGACAATCCAGGACTGAATTGCTCTTGCAGATCTGAGTTCCTTGAATTTGCTCTTTTCTCCACTTAAGTTCACTGATAAATTGCAAACCTCTACTCTACTTTGTTCTGCACTGATACATTGCAAGCATTTCATTAAAATAAGGCTTAACTTTCTTGAATAGACCAAATTTTTATTAACATTTTAAGAAACAGTTTCACCCTCTGAAAAATCAGAATACGAACATATTACGATATAAAGTAAAAAATAAAGCAACATGTAACACTTATAATGGTAGGTACTATAAGCAGTTTACATGTATTAATTTACATTTGTTTATACAGGTTTCCAAACCAATCCTATGGTGGAGGTACTATTGTAGTTCCCATTTTAGAGGTAAATAAAGTGAGGTAGAGAGGATAGGTGGTATGCCCAGAGTCCGACAATTGCTAAGCGGCAGAGTTTAAATTCAAACCTAGGCAGTCTGGCTTTATAATATGCGTTCTTGCCCACTGGACTATATTGCCCATTAGATCTACTTTTAAAAGTCATTGGATTGGTTGATGTATTCTTAACAATTAACTAGAAACTAAAGGCTGATCACTCAGCAGTAATCAGGTTCCTGCTGTGGGTTAGGCATAACCCACAACCTAAAGATTATTTCCTGACATACTATTTTATTTGATACTGTAAGGTAGACGAGCCATTCCATTTAACATTCACTTATTTCTCAGAAACTTAAAATCCTTATAAAAAACAGTGAAGATCTAGACAAAACAAGACACAACATCACTAAGGAAAACTGTCTCCAACCAATAACATTATCCTTTTTTTTCTTTTTCAAGAATGATCTGATTTTAAAGATTGGGTACAATGTTCTAGCTTGAAATAGCATCTGGCTAGCAGCCCTTTTACAACTCCTCTTAACTGTCCCCAAATTCATGTCTCAGAAAAGAGATTTCATAACAATGTTGATCTTATGTAGGACTAAGTGTTGTGCTATCACCAGAATGGGAAAGGATTTCCACTAAATTCAAAAATAATAGAGCATGTGTTGTCAAACGGAATTGCTGTTGCATCAGTGCTTTGTTTTAGGAATTGTGCAAACCTCTCCTCCTGAAATCAGGAGGAAGTTTTTTAGTCATCTCTCATTATCTCCTTCCTTTTTCCAAATTAGTATGCATTAGGTACATTCGTATACATTTAGTATCCATCAGGAAAGTGTCTTCCGCAAGCCTACTACTTCTGTTTCTTGAGGCAGCCAAAACGTCTCTCTCAGGTCCCCCAATGGTATTTAATTTCATTCTAGATCTGGGAAGAGACTGAAACTTCCAGAAGATAACTAAGCAGGAATTTGTGGAAGACAGTAATTATTACAGGTGAACTACAGACTGTAAAATGTCTCCAGGTTCGAGTGGAAGTATTTCTCAGAAATGTATAGTGAGTCATTAAAATTAATATTTTTAAAGAAAAACTGGTAAATTAGAAAATATTAGATTTTTTTAAAAAGCAGGTAAAAAGCTGCATTGATAATGTGATCCATTCAGATTGGATCAAAGCCTAGTTAGAAGTGATGGCAGAACAGGGGCAGAGGCCACTGACTACAAGGCAAGGTGAGTAGGCCCAAGCCCTTCAGGGAGGGGCCTGGGGTGAGCCTTTCTGCAGAATGAGGGAGAGGCCTGGTCACACAGCTAGGAGACAGGTCACATGGGCTTTGAAGACAATGCTAACCTATTTCCCAAATTTGCCTAAGATAAGAAAAGGCCATTGTCATGTACCTGATGATGGCATCATTATACACAGAGTATTACCTTCACATGAAATGCTAATGGCCATACAGGTGCAGAACTAAATTTTTCAAATGCCTGTGTGTGACTGCCTCTAAGTCTGAGATACAGCAGCTTTGAAAGAAAGCTTCACACATGTTACATATCAGCTCCTAGGAGAAAGAAGAACATTTAAAAATAAGTTGAAAGTAGAGATCCTAAAACAATTGTAGTTTCAGTTCCATGACATGTCTGAGCTATGAATAGGCATTGCAGAGAGTTGTTTTACTGCTATCATTTCTTAGGTCACTTGTCTCTTGCTAATTTCAAAGCAGGAGTGCTTTCTTATTTTTCTGACTAGGGTACTAAAAAGAAATTTCCAGTAAGCATACACCATTTTATTATAAATTTCTTTGACTTCAGTGAATGGCATTTTAAGTGGAGTGCGGGTTTGTGGAATGCCGCCAAATTTGTATTTTAAAATTGTAAACAAAAACAAATCTCTCCCCTTCCTCCTTCTATTGCTAATAGCTGTAGTATATGCCGTTCACTGTGTCATTTAAATAGATTTCAAATAATTTTCCTGTAATTGCTAATCATTTTAGTAGGTGGCATGAGATTAGCAATCAATAATCACATGAAACTGTTGAAAATGAAGCTCAAGGATCAATAGAATATTCTTCTCATGGGAACACGGCCTACTCAGACGGCTGTCCTCACTGTTCCTTTCTGTTTTGTGTTTATTGTAGATTCACAGGCACATTTCTTAAGGGAAAAATTAAAAATCAGAGAAATAGACAAAATGCCTCTCACGAGCATCACGACAGAGATGGCATTTGTTATAAAAAACATATCCTAAGAGAAGATGGAGATGGTATATAATTTGGTACAGATGCTAAGTTTGCAAAGTAAAGTTCTTAATCTCTAATCAAAGAGTATGTGTTGTCACTGATCCACTTTCTTTCGAATGTTTTGTTTGTTTTTTTTTTTGAGAAAGATTAGCCCTGAGCTAACATCTGCTGCCAATCCTCCTCTTTTTGCCAAGGAAGACTGGCCCTGAGCTAACATCTGTGCCCATCTTCCTCTTCTTTATATGTGGGACGCCTACCACAGCATGGCTTGCCAAGCAGCGCCATGTCCGCACCTGGGATCCGACCTAGCAAAACCCGGGCCGCTGAAGTGGAACGTGCGAACTTAATTAACCGCTGCACGCCACCAGGCCGCCCCTGAATGTGTTTTTAAATGTATTATAAAGATACACACTTATCTCAGTATGTGGAATTCTATTAGGGGGTTATTTATAAAGATACACACTCAGCATACGTAGAATTTTGTTCTCAGGCTGAGACAAAACATTACATTAATAAATGTTAGCTTTACTTTCATTTTTTTAGGCATTAAAACATTTTAATTACTGATGATTAATGGGAATATGTTATTTCATGAAAAAATACAAAATTACTTCCTGTTGCATTGCATTAAATAGATTTTCATATGTAGTTCCCCCTTGTTAGATGCAAAGTTGACTCACATTTATTATAAAGTTCATTACCCTGTCTACAGACAAATGCGCTCTTGCACACTTTATAAAAGCCATGATTTAACATTAAAACAAATTTTAAACTGTTTAAAGATATTAAGGTACTTTTGTGGTGAAAAGTAAAAAGAGATTGAGGGAGAGACGGAATCCTTATGTTGTTGTTCTCGCCTTTGTTTTCTGGAGGGATGTTAGAGGAATCAGGTCTGCCTCAGTGCACCTCAGTATTTTTGGGGAGCGCTCCTAGAAATTTAGAACAGGGGTCAAGGCTGGGTTTGGGATAAACCCGGGAGAAGAACAGTAAGTGAGAGAGAAAAAAAACTTTAGAAATAAGAAAAGTGATTTAAATGAAGAAAAAACAAAAAAGTAGCATGCACTAACCACAGTGGGTGATCTCCAGTGATATTCTCTTTACTCATGTAAATACTCCAAAAAAAAAAAAAAAAACCCTCAACTCATCTGAACTAAGGAGGAAAAAAAAAAAAACCCAAGCAGGAAATTCTTTAATTTTGCCCTTTGAGGGCTACGTGTGGGTGCAGGCTTGCTGCCTACCCTTGACTCCCTTGGGAAATATTCCTTGGGAAGAACCTGGTCCTCCTCACAGTCCACACAGCACTCATTCCCAGGAGGTGGAAAACGCTTGGTGGGGACAGAGAAAGGGTTGCCACTCATCTGTTGCACAAGCGCGAAGCAGGAGGAAGCATCTGCTGAGCAGGGATCAGCGACCAGCGGCTCACCCCAGGGCTTTCAGAAAAGAGGAAATCAAGGAGAAACCCAGACTCTCAGGCCGGGTAATCGCTAGCTAAGATTCCGCATGGACGTCGCTCTCTCTGTTACAAATGGACTCTCAGGTCATGGGGTCCTGACCAACCATGCCTGCCTGAGGGACGAGCTGGGAGTCACCCCATCGCAGTTATAGCAAGTAAGTGATTGCCAACACCTATCTTTTCCTCCTTGCATTTTAATCTTATTTTCTTGGGTGAGCAGCAAAGAGAGTGGCCAAGAGGTAACTTTTGTCCTGAAATCTGAGTACAGTGATGCGAACATCTCACGCACACGCATACACACACTTCTCTCTCACACACCCCCGAAGCCATGGAATCTCGCGCTTCTAGGCTCGTGCGCCTTTTGAATTTTATTTAATATTCGGAAACTTACTGATTTCCTATGCCTGTTGGAAAGACCAAGTAGGGTGGGGGTGAGTGGAACGCTGTGCCTCATCATTTATTCATCGCGACTGTCTCGACTGTTGACACTAGTGGCAAGAGGCACACTCCTGCTCTTGCAGGGGAAGTCTGACACCTTGAGGACGGCAGAGGGGGTGCTGGGAGCCCAGAGGAGCCGGAGTGGGAAAAGCTTTGAGAGTTACGGCGTGGGGTGGGGGTTACTTTTTTCAAGTCTGGCGACCTGCCGCCTGGGTGCTGGTTTACTGGGATGGGAGCAGGGCGTTCAGAAGCCGGTCCTGACGCGAACTGAAGTCGGACAACCTGCAGAGTCCGCCCGAAGCCTGGAGGTGTGTCTGGCGTACATCCAGGACCGCAGAGTGCGTTCCGGCCACCGACGTGGCCAGAGGAGGGCTGGCTTGTGGTCAGCTTGCCTGCCCAACTGGCTGACCTCAAGCAGTTGGCCCAGAGCAGCGGAGGCTAATCCCAGGCAGCCGAGTCGGAGACCTGCCCGCGCGCGGGTCCCCTCCATCCACCGCCGCGCAGAGCGGTGCGTGGGACGCGCATCTTCACAGCTGTCCCTTCTGAGCAGGGACTGGGCAGACCCTGAGTCAGGCAGCCGCCCGGGACGGAAGGCGAGGTGCCCTCCTCTGGGCTCAGCGCTGTCAGCCGTGAGAACGTTAACTTTACCCCGAGGGATCAGTGGGGGCGGGGGTGGGCGAGGTTCTCCTCCCCTGGCGCTCACCTCCTCCTCCAGAGCCTCCCCTCCCCCGCCTCCCATGGCATCGTTCTCAGAGGATCCTCACTCCGCCCAGTTCAGTGCCAGCTGCGTGGGCTCCAGCTTCGTGCGTTTTCCTTGGAATGCTCCAAAACTCGGCAACGACTAAGGAAATCCCATTGGAATTTGCCGGACGTGCTCTCACCCGGCGTAGCACCCGTGCCGCCAGTCCTCGGATCGATCCCTCTCCAGCCAGAAGATTGCAACTTTCCAGGTAAAGAGGGTGTCGCCTCAGAGCTCCACTTGACCGGAGCTGCACCTCGCCTCCTTTCTGAGATCTCGGTTAAGTTTCTCAAGCTGCCTGGGAAGCCCGATCCCTCTTGGGAGGCGGACATCCCTGGAGGTTAGGAGTTCAAAAGGCTCCAGCTGCATGGTTTCTCTTTAAGGCTCGGAACCGATTTGTGAAGCTTTCTGTGGTTGACCCGGGCTGAGCGGGAGTTGGAGGATGCTTCTCAGCCTCTCACCGCACCGGGCTTTAAAGCAGGGGAGAGGGCGAGGAGTGAACCCCCGGTGTGACTTATATGGTAAACAAAGCAGCTGCAGCCACGCCGTGGTGCTGAGGAGAAAGGCTGTTTTTAGCCTTTTATGCATTTGGGGAAAATGGAGATCTTAGTGGCCCCTGGGAGTACATAAATGAGCCCTCGACTCTCTGGTACCTAAACTGGGGGAATGAAGAGAGGTTAATGATCAATATCCTGCCGATCAATTACACTCTGCGTCATTTTCATTCTCTATCAGGAAACAGAAACATTTTTATCTGCGTTGCTGGACCCAGGCTAGGGATTCCTAGTTAGCTTGGCAACTGAAATTCCAATTAAGCCAATGACCCTGTTTGCTACTTGGGGAAATCACTGAAATTCATAGCACAACTTGTTATCCCAGCTGTGGACTCAGCTGGCTTTTGTGACTGAGAATACTGGAAGGGGATGGGGGGTTTGGAGGAGACTGAGAAAAGGAGTTCTGTTCTTGTCTGTATTTACTCTGTTGTGTCCACTATGGTGCATCCCTGTTCACATGGTTTCTTAGAGGAGCCCTTCCCGGTTAAATTCTGCAGCTATAAAATGCAGCAGGTAGCTTACTGAGTAAGCTCCAAGCCAGAAGAGTGGAAGGAGGGGTGGAAGCAAGGTTTACTTGTTTTATTAAAAACACATTTAGAACAGACTTGTAAAACTGAAAAAAAAAAAACCTTTCAGGTCTCATATAATTTCTGGCTTTCCTATCATGGTAATCACAAACAAAACATATTACAAATTATTTAAGAAAAAAGGTTAAGTGAAGTTTTTTTTTATTTTTAAGTAAAACTGAATTAAACAGCGAGAGTAAGAGTGGGTGGATATGTTAAAAGAATGAAATCATCATTACCGTGTTATGGTTTGCTATTTAAACTTACATTTGTGTTACCCATTTCTATTCACCTGGTCAGTAGACCAGGACACATTCCCCCTTGAGTGTTTAAGGCAAAAAAATCAGTAAGGTATAGACATATCTAGTACTTTGGATATTAGAATCAAAATTCAGTAAGACATTGTTAAAGAAGCACTTTAAAAACTAGATTTATGAATTAATGCAGTTAATGCAAATCAGCACATCAGTAGACGTTAATAGGCTTTATCTAAGTATTTTATGCAAATGTCTTGGATTAATAAAAGTTAGTACAGGTAGAAGGAAAGAAAGCACTTACATTACTTATGAATAAGAGACCACAGAGCTGGAAAGCCTTTCAACAGAGCTCTAATCAGAGCTCAGCTACACGGCTAAGCCTGCTATTGCTGTTGTGGAGTGAAGAGCAGATAGATTTATGCCAAGGAAGTTATGCAGAAAGAAAAAATACACACTAACAGGTTGATGAGATTGATACCTAAGAGCTGCTTACTATTCACTGAATGAGTAGATAGATAGATAAACAGTTTAAATAAGGCATAGTGAGAAGACTCGTAATTGCAAATTTAGAAAAGTTCTTCCTCTTAAGTAAGAACTTAAAGGAACATGGGCATTCATCAAAGCATAAAGCATCTAAGTTCAACAGATACAAGAGACATGTCTCTTTAACAAAACCTGTCAAATATTAACAGTGTGTCTGAAAATCTCTGATCTTGAAAATAAGTTTCAATTTAATTACTTAGTGGTGGTTCTCAAAGATATGAGGTTTGGGAATAGATTTCTATTACTACTTATAAGAGCTATAATTTATACTTTACATAAATAGGAAACACCAGAATGTTGCTTTTATTCATTCTGATTAGGGGAAATTTGAATATTTTGTTTAGTACACAAATTTAAACTTTTAAACTTAAACCCTATTATAAACATGATTAAATTTCTATGAAAGTATTATAATAGCCTTTAGGATATGCTAATTAACCCTGCTGAATTAAAACTTACTTTCACAAACATATTGTTTAAAATATTGTTACATTTTTGTACCTGCATGTTTAATTGCCAGGATAATTTATGGCAACTCAAGTTATCAACATTACATTTAGCAGCTGAAAACTAAAATAATCTACCATTTCAAATTAATTCATATATTGGAACAAAAATAAATATATGCACACATTAGTACAATAGTTAATATCTGAATATCAGTGCTCAAAAAGATAAAGGACTTTGCAAATAAAGTTATATATATGAGAAGTGCTAAAGAGTAGCTAGGATAGTAAAACTGTGGACTGAATATATTTTTATGAAAATGTGATTGTCTTATTGTTGAAAATGAGATAGGTGAAGGGGATTATAATAAATTAAATTTTCCTTTTCCAATATCGTCATTGCTAAACATTTTATGAGATCAGCTTCTAATGTGCATCTTGACTTTCCACATTGGATTGTCTGGGCTAAATTGAAACCTGTGTTATTCACCTATTTAATATCTGTGGAAAACCCACCGTAAGCATTTGAGTTCTTATTGAAAATGAGATTGAGGAGACAGCTCAAAATAAAAATCTTGGCTTTTAACCTAATTTATGCTCCATCACTCCCCACCAATAAACATTAAAACTGACTAGTTCAACCCAACTTCCATTGGACATTTTCTTCTATCTAGTTGTGATGAAAACTTGCTTTAGAACTACCTTTCCTCTCATGTTTTCTAGTTCTAATCCTCTCAGATGCACTGGGACCTCAATATTTTAAGAGATTCAAGAATGTTTTGATTAGGGATATAATATCATGGCTATATCTTTTTAACCAGCATAAAAATAGGCCTAATCTCCGAGAACATTGTACTACCAAAATAACTCTGTGATAAAAAATACATTTAGGAAAAGAAGCTACTTATTTATGAAACTGAAAATTAAAGACACGTACATTGAAAATACATCAATTTACAACTACGTTGTTCTGTGAACTATTCAGTAAATGAAATCTATTTACATTTTTTAAAAATCTCAATGATCCTTCTGAAACTTCGGTTTCACTTAAATAGGATATGAAAGAGAGATAACAGCTTCACTACTTGATCTGCTCCTGTAACTAAACTGTAGATGATATTCCATTAATATTAGCGTGTGTTTTGTCTCCCTTAAAAAACGTTTCCTTTGAAATACAGCAGTTCATAGAGTAATGGCTGCTTAAGAGGCAACAGCTGACACATGGGTATAGTTTTACACATAAAATTATAAATGTTAATTAAAACATTAATTTAAAAAATGCCTTGATAGCTTTATCTAACACACTGCGTTCTTTTTAAGAAATGGCAAGTGCAATGAAATGAATCAGATATGCATTCACTACATTCTGCTTGTAGTTTGCTGTTATATTTTTGAAATATGTTGAAAAAGTCACCATAAATAGTTTCCTTGAACAAATACCATCAAGAACTAAAATTTATTTAAGACGGAAAAACAAACTATCATGAAAAAAGGAAAAGAAGAAAAGGGGGCAATATTTATGGATACTTAATGTATGCCAGGCACTATGCTATGGACATATAAGTTTTTTAAAAAAGTAAACTTTTTCTCATGTTTATCTTCACATCTAGCT